TAATATATTTACTGATTTTTAGAGAAAAGAGAATATATGATACTAACATTCCAACTAATATATATAACGCATGTCTGTTTTCAGTATCTTGAATGCTAATGGGCCTATATCCATCTATTTGCACTACAAATCAGTAAGAAAAACATACAATATGATCCTGAATTTATTACTTTCAGGTAGATATTATTTGTTAATATCAATCTGAAATCCTAAAAGGGCATGGGTATGGGAGTAAAGTAATGTGACAGTTAAAGAAATCAATTAAAAAAAAAAAATCAACCAACTGCAAGAATAAATCTCTATCTAAAAACAAGCTCTCTTCCTTACATAAGTATCACCTGCTACCTGCAAGCACAACCCCTTCATGAACTGATGAGACTGGGATCAGAAGGTGCAATGAAAGACTTGTGACTGCTGTGCAGGACTGAGCTCCATCGCACTGCTTCCTCAACTCCGTGAGCACCCAAAAGCAACAGATCAGCAGGAACAGATGGAGATTTAACTTACTCACTTTATGATAGCATTTATGATGCCCAAGTTGGTTCTGACCGCCTATTAGTAACATGCACTATTTATTTTTTGGACCTAGATCTTAATTTTTAAATAAACTCTTAACGATTTTCTGGATCTTTTCTATTCTTCAGACTTCATCAACCAAAAGGCAGATGTATGAGAGAACTGCGACTTTACCTCCCCTCTCACTTGACAGCTTACTGATAGGTGACTTTATCACTGTAAGGCCCATTTTATTCCAAGGTATTTTAATAAAGCTGTTAATTTTCAGAGTGTTGGCATGAATTTGAAACCTATAGCATTATGTATACAGTAGCATATATACCTTTATAATCACACATAACTTCCCTTATAAAAAAAAGATTAAATGCCTAATGCAGTGTTGGGAAATCAGGTTGTTAGATACACTTAATGGTTTCTTAATGACTTAAAAGTCAGCTTTCCATACATATAAACCAGCTTTATTAACTTATAATGAACACTACGAAAACAATTGTCAGTCTTTTAATTCACAGGTCTATGCAATGAAGCACTTAAATGTCAAAGGTCTGAAATTTCCTTTGGAAAATAATGTGTAAATTAAAAGACATGATTACGTCTAAAATGTCTTATAACGAAAAGAAAAACAATTATTTAATGTGCAATTGTGTTTTGTAAAAGAAAATAGTAAAACTGGCTAGGATTCAAACCACCAAAACCCTCTCATTTGGTGAGCTAAACTCAGTCAAACATAAATAGAGAGAAATGAAATTATAAACTATGAGATGGAAGTCATTTAAAACAAACAAAAAAAAACTACTAAAGACAAGTTCTGGGATCAATACACAATCAAAACATAATTAACCACCAATTCTCCCTATAGAGGTTCAATGATAGTGGACATATTGAACAATGACCCTGGAATAGGAAATCAAAGATTTTACTCTGCTTAAACTCTCTCTATATTAACATACTGTGATATTTCAAAAAGATTAACTATAAGGGCTCAAATCTAGATGTTTTCCAAGCATTCTGTTTTCCAAGCATTAAATATTGTAAGAAACATTACCTCTGTGTTAGTATAGTAAGTGTTCCAGGAAGAACGAAGAGATTCTTGGCCACCAATATCCCACATTAGGAAACGTGTATTATTAATCACTATCTCTTCTACATTACTTCCTATTGTAGGAGATGTATGTACAACTTCATTCATAGAACTGGGGGAAAAAGTTTATATATATTTTACAATTAGCACGGAAGCTAACTTGCTTGAACAATTTTTTAATCAAGGACAAATCAGCATAAACTTTTATAATTTATACCTAAATATCTTTTTCCCACTAGTTTACAACATGAGTGAGGGTTTAAACAGGGCTAGAACTAGGTCTTAGGCTATCTGGCATATACTAGATCATTCCAGGAAACTATAAAAACAAATATTTTTCTTTTTTTAAATGTTACCCAGGCCAGAGTGCAGTGGCATGATCATACATAATCAGTGGCATGAGGTTCACTGCAGCCTTGACCTCCTCAATAGGATCAAGCAATCTTCCCACCTCAGTCTCCTGAGTAGCTGGAACTACAGGTGTGCACCACTACATCCAGCTAATTTTAAAATATATGTGTGTGTATATATATATATATCTTATAAAGAGATGGCATACCACTACATGGCCCAAGCAGTTTCTCAAAGTCCTGGCTTTAAGCAATCCTCCCACCTCTGCCACCCGAAGTGTTGGGATAAAGGCATGAGCCACTGCACCCGGCCATATTTTTCTACTTTCTACAAACAAAAGAGTTTTAGTACAAAACAAGCGGACAACTCAATGCCAACTATATGCTCAATATCATACAAATTTTTTGCTTTCTACAAAGTATTGCTGAGATTTGGCTCCAGGTTTATAGTCAACCTGCTTTCTTACAGGGTAACTTAGGTTTCATGTAATTTCTTACTGCATTCATTGATCGAATATCACCCAGGCCAAAAAAGTAACTAGAAATAAAATAATTTTTAAGACAGTTAATACTTACAATTGGTAAAGAATGGTAGTTTTCCCTGCATTATCCAGCCCAACAATGATAACTTTGTGCTCTGAAATAGAGAAAACACCAGTGATTTTTTTCTTCAAAAAAGGAGAAAAAAGATTAATTCGATTATAGACAAAAACAAATTCCGTATTTCACCCTTCTATCTATGGCATAATTCAGTGCATGGCACTTTATACTTTCTTGGAAGTCAAAAGAACATCCTAGCAAGACCACCAGAAGTGCACCATTATACTCACCTTCCCCATTGCCATTATTCTAGAGACAACTCTCATCTTTCCAACCTCCTCTCTAGGAAGTCACAGCACTACATTTCCTCTACTCCTAGGCAAGCCTACTCTCAGTAAAGTAAACCAAATATAATCACAACGATCTACAAATGACTTAAAGTACAAATGTTTCACAATGGATTACGTCAATGAGGTTCTAACAGGAAATTCAGGCATCAACTGGGTACGTGTATGTGGAGCGGAATGAGTGGGAAGGAAAAAAGGACCATTTTTTAAATGGTAATTGTAATTTATGAGTACCTTAAAACCACAGGGCCACTGTAACATGAAAAACAAATCTAAGAACCTATGGCTATGGTGGCAGTGACTCCCTCCCCCCGTTTGGCTTCTGTGGCACCACTTTCTCCAAGTTTTCTTCCTGTCTCTAGTCATTCATTTTTTTTCAATGACTCCTCTTCCTTGGGTCTTCTTTCAAACATTCACGTTCCCCAGATGTTTTCTTGCACCCTCTTCACATTTCAGCCAGGCACTTGTAAGACCCATCTATTTCCAGGCCGTCTGAAAGCAATCCGCAAAGACAGCACAGCATGTGGAAGAAACTAGTGTCCAAGATGGCCTCTGGATAGTCATGCCATTATGTAGCCGCCTCCTCTTGAATCTGGGTTGGCCCTGTGACTTACTTTTAACCCACAGATGCAGCAGAAATGACCAGGCATGATTTCTGAGCCTAAATCATCAGAAACATTGCAGTTGCTGCCTGGCCGTCTTGGACAAGTCCTCCTGCGGTAAGTCAGATACCATATAGCAAGTCCAAGACTGCTGTGCCTTTTAATGAGTAAGCCCAAGTTGATCATGTGGTGAGACCCTGTTGAAAGGGATGACCAGTCAGTCCCTATCTCTTCCAGCCATTCTAGTTGAGATGACAGACAGACAAGTAAAGAAGCCATCTTGGCTATGCAGCCTGGTTGAACCTACAGAGTATTCTAATTTTAGCTGCTATCTGACTGCAACCAAAGGAGACTCCCCAAGGTAGAACTTCCTAGCTGAGCTCAGCCGACTCATAAGAAACATGAAAAATAATAAATCATTGCTTTAAGTCATAAAATTAGAGTGGCTTACTACATAGAAACAGATAATTGAAGGAAATATTAATGGTATTATAAGACCTTGAGCAAATGACTTTTACTATTTCTCTGACCTTAAGTTTCTTCATTGTAAGATAGGGGAAATACTACCTATCACTCAGGGTGGTTTAACAATTAAAATAGCACACAGCAGTGCCTAGCACTGAAGAGGAGAGAGTTCTTAACCTGTTTTACTAGCCCAGGAAAAGATAAAAATTTACTAGAAACTGTACTTCAAATTTTGAATTTTGATCTTTTCCAAGGCTAGTGATATCCAGTACGACACTCTCAAGACACTGGGCAGTAGCAGCGAGCTGCAGCTCCCAGTCAGCCATGCAATAACAAGGGTAAACAACCAGTACTGCATAATAGTATATACTGTGCTATCAGACGGTTTTGCCCAACTGGAGGCTAACGTCAGTGTGTTGAGCACATTTAAGGCAGGCTAGGCTAAGCTATGATGTTCAGTAGGTTAGATGTAATAAATGTGTTTTGACTTCAGTTACTTTCAACTTAAAACAAGTTTACTGACACATAACTACATCATAAGTTGAAGGGCATCTATAAACTAAAGTTCAAGTCATTCTCCCTACATAAGCTGCACATGTGTTCACAGCAAACATTTCTCTACAGCTACTCGTGGTATCACCAAATGCTGGAATTATCCTAATTATCCATTTAGGGAATTAGACCAATCCTTTGAAGTCTAGCTTTCCATGTAGAATCAATTTCTCCTGCTTTCTCACACTACCTCTAATCTACCACTTATCCTAATTATTTACATGTGCACTAATCTCAGTTTAAGAAGGCATCTTCAACCATATAGAATACATATTAATCATCTTCACACTTCTAGTGACAACAACTATTCCTGGCATAAAGAAGGTACTCAATAAATGTTGAATTAATATTCATTCTATAAGTAATAAATGTTGAGGATTATAACACCTCAGAGTAAGATCTTTATAATTCAAATGCTAGATGTTTTCCAAATAGTTGCCACTTACCAGAGGAAATTCCTAATGATCTATAGGCACCTGCTATTATACAAAAATAGGAAGATCAAGTAAATAAAACATTTTAATACAATCCACTAGGGTCCTTAAATGACATGACCACCTGCCCCTTTTGTGAGTTATTAAGAATCATTTTAAAGACCTAGGGCCCAGGCCGGATTGGTGGCTCACGCCTGTAATCCCAGCACTTTGGGAGGCTGAGGTGTCGGGTGGATCACCTGAGGTCAGGAGTTCACAACCAACATGACCAACATGGTGAAACTCCATCTCTACTAAAAATACAAAATGAGCGGGGCGTGGTGGCACATACCTATAATCCCAGCTACTTGGGAGGCAGAGGCAGGAGAATCGCTTGAACCCAGGAGGCGGAGGTTGCACTAAGCCAAGATCATGCCATTACACTCCAGCTTGGGCAACAAGAGCGAAACTCCGTCTACGGCCCTTAGTCTCCCAGATCCACAAACAATTCTGCTACTATCCCAGAATAGACAGGACTCAGAGAGGGCAATTCATGGAAATGACTAAGACATAAATAAGAACAGCGAATGAGTAACATACAATAAGACCAAATGTTTAAAAATGAGAGAAAAGTGCAGTCTATCCCTGAGGAAATGTTACATGGTGGCTGAATTAAAATCAGATGATTACTTGGGGAGCATGGAATCCCAACCCAAGGAGTGTTACAGGCTGCAATGACTGATGTGAATCCTTTTTTTTTTTTTTTTTTTTTTTTGAGACAAGGTCTCACTCTTGTTGTCCAGGCTGGATTGCAGTATCACAATCATGGCTCACTGTTGCCTCAACCTCCCGGGCTCAAGCGATCCACCCACCTCAGCCTCCTGAGTAGCTGGGATCACAGGTGTGTACCACCATGCCTGGATATTTTGTTTCTTTTGTAGAGATGGGGTGTCCCTATGTTGCCCAGGCCGGTCTCAAACTCCTGGGCTCAAGCGATCCTCCTACCCCAGCCTCAAAAAGTGCTAGGATTACAGGTGTGAGCCCCTGTACCTGGTCTGAATTCATCTTTAGAGCAAGGCCACGTCTGCATGAGGGCCAGGTAATCGAGTTGTTGAGAAAAGGTACCTTTACACCTACAAAGTTTTTAAATAGCATGGCAATTCTGCCTAACTCCATTTTTCTATGTCCCAAAATTAAGCATTCCCTTTCTGATGACATAACTCCTCTACAGTTTTATTAATACAAGCACTCATAAACATTTTTAATACAACTAGAATTTATTATCAAGCTATACTCTGATCTCTGACTTGGGTAAAAGTTTTTAGCTTCCCAGGTGAATACTGATTTTTAACCATAGCATTCTCAAAACGTCAGATTTTCTCGCTCTGTCGCCCAGGCTGGAGTATAGTGGCCGGATCTCAGCTCACTGCAAGCTCTGCCTCCAGGGTTTACGCCATTCTCCCGCCTCAGCCTCCCGAGTAGCTGGGACTACAGGCGCCCACCACCTCGCCTGGCTAGTTTTTTGTATTTTTTAGTAGAGACGGGGTTTCACCGTATTAGCCAGGATGGTCTCGATCTCCTGACCTCGTGATCCGCCCGTCTCAGCCTCCCAAAGTGCTGGGATTACAGGCTTGAGCCACCGCGCCCAGCCAAAATGTCAGCTTATTTTTAAGTTCCAGGAATATATCCCCCCCGCGTCTCCTCTCCATTCCCCCAATGTATTAGCTACAGGCCAGAATTTAGATGGGCTTGTCAATACTCAGGAAGAAAATACAATTACTCCGACAAATAAAAGAAATGGTACCCTAAAAATAGTACAAAATTAGCAGGAAAAGTCCAAAAGGAAACAAAAATATAAGCAAGAATCTATAATATATAACAATAAAGAATGAGTAAAAAAATGTGTATATGTATAAATAAGGTACACAGAGACCATGAAGTAAAAAACAGTACTCTCTTAGTTTCTTACAAAGTCCTTAATCAGTTAAGGTTAAACCCTTATTCCAACCACGTTACCATTTTTTCAAAATAGTTTGCTACGCTTCTTTTATAACTGCTTTCAGAGCCTGAGGTACACCATTTTGAATACTGTCACCTAATGGTGGCAAATCTTTTAAACTCTGAAGATGAACTTGACTTTAAAGTGGGAGATGAGCCACCTGATATCATCTTGGTCATAAGTTAAAAGGCATCTAAAATGAGTGCTATCTTTTTGTTGTTAAGTGAAATATGAAGAATTATTTAAAATTTTGTTTCCAAAGAACTTCTAAAAGGAGTTTCAAAAGATACATTGAATAACAGTAGGACATATCAATGAAAAAACTATATAGCCTCCTAAAATGAGAGCTTTAAAGTAAAACCTCATCTGGCTTTAGTACAGGTATTTTTTAAAGTGGTCTCCTTACTTCAGCCATGTCCCTAGGACTTGACGTCCTAATTCCAAACCTGGTGCTTTCTAACAGTTCTGTTAGGAAAAACTAGCTTGGCGAAAACTACTAAAAGAAAAAAAAAGAGACTCTTAGGCTGGGCATGGCGGCTCACACCTGTAATCCCAGCACTCTGGGAGGCCGAGGCAGGTGGACCACAAGGTCAGGAGTTCATGACCAGACTGGCCAAGGTGGTGAAACCCCATCTCCACTAAAAATACAAAAAAATGAGCTAGGCCTGGTGGCGCGTGCCTATAGTCCCAGCGACTCGGAAGGCTGAAGCAGAAGAATCGCTTGAACCC